CACCTCCCCCCCCCCCCCCCCCCGCGGCGGGGCGGGGGGAGAGGGGGGACGGGGAGAGAATCAGAAGGGTAAGAGTTGAGAAAAACTCTGAGTTGAGATAAAGACAGTTTAATAAAACAGAAAAGGGAGAATAATAATGATAATGATAAAATATACAAAATGAGTGATGCACAATGCAATTGCTCACCACCCGCGCTGACCGATAACCAGGTAGCGATCGGTACTTCCTGGATCACGCCTACCATTCATATACTGAGCATGACGTCACATGGTATGGAATACCCCATTGGCCAGCTGGGCTGGCTGTCCTGATTATGTTCCCTCCCATCTTGTGTACCTAGCTCAGTCAGTAGGCATGGGAGCTGTCCTTGGACTGGGAGGGTACTTAGCAACAACTGAAAACATCAGTGTGTTATCAACATTCTCCTCATACTAAATCCAAAACACAGCACTAGCAAGAAATTTAACCCTGTCCCAGCCGAAACCAGGACAAAGAGATATCTTTCCGTGGTGGCGTATACACACAAGCACACCCACACAATACTAAAATGCAGATTCTTGCCTGACGGTGCATGTGAGCGTCTCTAGATTACATATGCCATATGTGAATTTTTCTTTCAGTTAGCTCTGACATTTTCCTGCCATGTATTAGCCTGGAAGATCAGTTTCAGTACATTCAATCAGATCAAAAGAATCTACATATTTCAGACTCAGATTTTTATGCTGCCCTTTAAAAGGCCTATACAACAAAGCATGAAGGGTTTCATTTATTTTAATACATGTTAGGAATTTTTTTTTTATTTCTTCCTTCTCATATTTATTCCCTGGGCACTACAGAGTATAAAACCAATACTGTATGTGTATAGGATCATAGGTACTTACACTAACTAAAAGAGAGAGTGACCCAATAACAAATTGAGAAATCAGGATTTTAAATTTCCTGCCTTCTCACTAGCATTATATAGCATATGTATTTGCAGTATGTACACATATATACATATATATATATGTATAAATATTTATGACTTGCTTAGCTGGGTCATACTCACCTAACCTTTCCAACGTGGTAGTTTCAAAGTGTCACATTAAAGCCTGTTGGCCAGCTTCACATTTCCTGCTCACAGAACTCAAGCCAACAATCTGTGCCAGACTGCAGTTAGCTAATTCAAAAAGAACTTGCAAAAACCATTACACAAACCAAGAGATGAAAATCTGAGCCTTTTTATCTCCCTGATGCAAACAAATACGTTATCAAAATTAAAACGTATCAGATGGATTTTATGTTGTTCTCAAGGCCTTGGGAGCAATATTCATCGTAGAAGAAAGATGAAGGACATAGGTAATCAGGTATTTTAGAACAATTGTTTTCTGGCTGCAAAATCATTACGACCTTCAGGACTCCCTGGCCAAAGCAGCGTAACGACTGCCTCGCTGACTTTACTGGCCATTAAGGAACGGCCAGGAGACTGTTTACTGTTTCCACGGGCGCTGACCCAATCTACAAGTCACACCCAGTAACCAAGAACTTGATCAGCCAAACTACTGTGCGTGCCTACAACTTCTTATCATCCAAGTCTAGACACGATGCATCTCAGAAAACAATACTACAGCCACATCAGCCACCACATCTGTATTAGAGGAAAGGTGGTAGCCCTTTTTTGAGACCACCTTACTCCATTAAAAGACTGTTTTTCACTTGCTTATAGCATTGCCAAGACACAATGATTTCAGCTCAGACTTTCCATGCTGGGTCCTTGCTTCAGGCTTGTTTTGGAAGACTTAAGCCAAAACAGTTCCATCATTTCCGAGAACAAGGCTAGGAAAAAACGTTTTGTTTTGCCCCTATTTAAAAAATTCTTTGAAAAGCTTCAGCACTCCTAGGCTTTGGAGTAGGAGCATGAAATGTGTCAGGGTTAGGTCTTTGTGCCAGAACTGTGCTTTCTGTCAAGTCATTAGTTTTTGAAAAACTAAAATTTGTAAGAACTGGGACAAGCAGGGCAAACAGACTGGGACACAGACAGGATTACAGGGAAAAAAACTGGACTGTCCAGAGCTGAGGAGCCAGCAGTATGATGGGGAATGGTGAGGGGGGGGTTGCTGCCTATGGGGCAGGATAGGTAAGACAAAGATGCATTAGTGAGGTGGCAAGAGGCACAAGGACAGGTTGGAGAAGACAGGACAAGAGAAGTCAAGCTTCAGAGAGCTTGTTTCTATCATGTTTCTCTATACTGTCTCTTCCCCCAGACCCTGAAGTGTAATCCCTGACTTGCTGGTTCCCAGCACTCCTTGCTGTCAGGCAAAACGTGTTCTGATGCACCTCCACCGCTGGCCTACACTCAAGATGGCCATTGAAATGAGTGTTCCTTGTCAGCTATTTCACTAGATCCTAGGCAGACACATCTTTACAGAACTAACCTAAATGTTTATGCCACAATGCCACACAGTGCTCCTTCATTTCCTTCTGTTGGCTTGGAAAAGAAAAAACAAACAAAATAAAGCATGAAAGGACTTTTAAAAGTATTAAGGTTGAAGAGTTGGGCATGAGATTGCAAGGAAAAGCCAGAATCGGGTTCACTGTGCAACTTCATTCAAGCCTGCTTGTGAATATTGCAAGCGGACAACCTGTAACTATACCAGTTTTTGGTGCCAGTTTATGGCAAGCAGACACATGCTTAAACTCTGGCATCATTTGTCTTTAGTATGCTACCTTCCCAGTCGTAAACATATTTTGATACACTTTTCCACATTGACATGCTTCAGAACTTCACCCACTGTCTTCCATGTACTATTTGTCTAAGAAAAACTTTATAAACTCATAGTGTTTATACATACACAGCCATCATGAAAACCATAAAACCATTATACAAAGTTCAGCACATTATAGCTTGTGCATGATTTATTATGTACCAATGGCATCTACTACATAAGCAAAACCGCAACTTAATCCCTATTCTAAATGTAATTTAATCTTCCAATCCAGGAACAAAGACGGCGTGAAAGAATAGGTTTAAACCAAGGCTAAGGTAGAACTTCCCCCCCCCAGCCAAATACATAGTTATTTGGCTAAGGGATGTCTGAATTATGATATGTTGAGTTCTCTAGAGCCCAATAAATCTCACTTTTTGTGATATTTGAGGAATGTCTCCTCAACAGAAACACTTTGCAACTTGTTTTCTGTGGGAAAGAAGGCTTTCCCATCACAAGACCTGAAGGTCCCACTGAAGCTTTTTGAGAATTGCCAGAGGCAACTCCTGCTGCAGAGCACGGGGTTTCTTCCCTCCTGCAGACCTTCAGGCTCACAAGCAGTGAGGATATTCCCTTGACTTCTTTATTCTCCTCTGTGCTGCGGTCCCCATCTGTTACTGCCTACAGACAGACTAGTAACTACAGTCATGAAAGCTGCAATTCACGAAAAGCTTTCCATCCCAGGCAACCTTCTTCACAAGTGTTTTAGATTTACTAATTTCTAGGAAAACATAAATATAGTTCTTCATAAATTCATATTGGAAAAGATTTTCCATGTAAAACTCAGATGCTAAAAAAACTGCCACCTCCAAGGCTATAAACCATTTTTAACAGTCATGCTTAGCTGTCATCACTACTCATACAGTGTATTACACTAAACAAGCTACTGAACCTTTTTAGAATAAAGAAATACGTAAACAGGAGATGGCAAAAGTATGTTACAAGCTTGCCTTTTTAACTAATACCTTTTCATTATTTAAAAAAAGGAGAAAAATACTTTTCTGCAAGTATTTTGGGATGATACTATGAGAGACTTTTCTATTATGCACTTGCTGGGCAGTAATAAAATTCTTTTTTTTTCTGCATGAGTTGAAAGGGAATTAGAAATTCTATTATGTTTTATGCATACAAATATGTACATAAAAATCCCATCAATTTTTTAAGGTATCAGATATCTGAGAGAAAACACTAGCCAACAATTAGGACCAAAATTTTCAGCATAAATTCCCCTTTTAACACAGTTATGCAACTTTTTTTTTTGTGAACTTTTTCTTTTACAGTGTATTTACTTTGAAGAAAAATACTTTTTTTTCAAGAAAAGTTAAACTTAATAACTAGTGCAATTTCAAAAATTACTTTGTAGTGGGGAAAATGCTTAAGATGTTTGTCTAGAATTTAGAAATACCTGAATTACAAGACAAGCTTTCATTCATATGTTCATATACTATCACACTCTGAAAAAAAGCTGGATTTATCTCAGTATCATCAGGTAGTAACCCATCTGGTCCTCCTTAGATGACTCACAGATAGTGAAAACCCATTACAGAAACCAGGATAACCGCAGAAGTAGCGCCTACACAAATTCGTGAAAAAGTCAGTCTTTGTAAGAAGAGTGGAGGTGAGGAATAACAGCAGCTTGAGGACTTACTCGGGAGGTGATGTGAAACATTATGTTATTTTTATTAACTTGTTGAGATAACAAAGTGACCTCTCCAACCAGACATTGCAAATACTTCAAGTCCATTGCTCTGAATTACACTGACTTCTGGTTTCATATTTTAACCCAGTGGCTGAGTTTAGGAAAGTAGGATCAGCTCCTCGTTTTGACCAGACCTTACCAGTATTGACTTTTTATACTAATTAAAATCTGTAATTGAGTACGGTGATGCGAATCACATAGGAAACAAACAAAAATGAATGAACGTGGAGCCTGCTGGGAAACCAAGACACAACTAGCTCTCGTTAGAGCTCCTCAAGTGAAACCTCCACAAATACCGTGACTACAGTCGAGGACACCAGGGCAACATTGCCTGGTGTTCCTTCGTTCCTGGTACGAAGCCCCTTTATCAGGGCTCCCATGGGAGCTAGGCTGCAAAGAAATACTCTACTTCCCGCTGTACTGCCTGGGGAACTCTATTTCACTTTGCAGGTATAACTCCCTTAGGATTAATCCCCAGAGAACAAAGAACCCTGGGAGGAGAAGGCAGGGGAAATCTCCACCCAGAATTCAGCAGATTTGAAGAGCTGGCTCTTACCTTGCAAGGCATAGGCTTTTTGAAGGAGATTTCAGCTTGAGTCCAAACTCCCTTTGGAGTGTCCAAGACGGACCAGATTTTCTCTTGAACGACATGATTCTCCTCAAAGATATAAACAGCAAGAGTACCACTCATTTTGAAAAACCCATATAAGGCATAATAAAAACGCAGACAAAACTGCAAGTTTCCTGGCAGGGTCGGGCCATACAGACGTCCAATGTACCCAGGTTCTGATGTAAACTTCGTGTTTGCCAACAAGTAATAACCTGCAAGACAGCACTTATTGAGTATTTCTAATACGCAATTAGCACAGCTGATTTTCTATTAAAGCAGCTTCCAATATTGCATCAGACTTGGGTTATAAAAACAGTTTCTACCGGCAGGAAACAGATTATCACACTCTGAAAGGAAGTAAGAATTTTTCTAAAAGCATCCTGGCTACTTCAAGCTAAACTGGCACATGGCTTAGTTACCAGAAATAAGCACTTTTCAAATTTACACTGAAAAATTCTCTGGCATGCTGGCCTCAGTGGAAGCCTGGCTGTTTCAAGGGTACCACTCTGAGACCGAAGAATGAAGGATGGGGCACACACTTATTATTCCCTGCACCAAGTTTAAAAAGGTGAGACTTTAGCACATATGATTAAGAACCATCAATACTCTACATCAATGTGTGAGTTTCAGGTCTTTCACTACGTGGCTTCACTACGCAACATTTCAGAGTTTTCCCTTAAAAATGCCAACTATCCTAAGCCTGGAAGAGCTAAGAGCCCACCGTTCCTCTATATTAAAAGCAATGCATTAAGCTACTGTTATATTTGCTTGCATATTTTTGTGGAATCATCCCTTCAGTGACTACAGATCAGTATAGTGAAGATACTCTGATTTACGGCCCTGCATGACTATTCAATAGGTGACCTTTCCCCTTTACATGTAGGGAGGCACAGCCAGAGTCCCATCTAGGACAGAGCGGTCTACACTGATTTTTAATGGCAAGGAGTTGCAGTGAGGCAATCTAACCAGTGTGCTGATGACATTATTTAACAGAGTGAACAATGATACAACAGGTTAACCTTTATATCCAGTTTGACTCTTCTAGTGAAAAGGAGTTTTGATTTACCAAACCCAGTAGTGTGATCTCCTGCTCTATACACGTTACGCTTTACTTTCACTCTGCTCCATCCTGGGCCGTCTTTGTGATCTTGGTAAAAATTACACAGATCTTCCTCAAAATTGCAGCCGGCCTCAGCAGGATTGAAAGGAGTCCCTAAAAATAGATGCATATGTTCTGTTAGGAAGAGCACAGTATAAGCATAAGTATTTGAAGCACAAGGATGCCAAAGTATACTCTGTTTCACCTTTCTTTGCATTACAGAAGATGAGCATATATAGTGCAAAGTCACAATGATATCAAGCTATCAATTTTCTATCGCAACAATATCGGTGTTATTTTCTTATATTTTTGCTGGATCTGGGAGGAAACCTCCTTCACAGCCCCTATAAAATATAAATAAGCTACAGATATTAAGAGAAGATTCCTCCTTCAGGACATAATGCACAAAGACATTCAGACCATTTGTTTTCAACCTCCTCCTTCATTCAGAAGATATTTGGACAAAATGAGTGTGAGTGTGCACGTGTGTGTGCATGGGTGTCATATTTTCATTTCAGTTTCCAAGGGGATAACTTTCTAACATCAAGATTTAACATTCTTTTAAAGAGCACTTTTTTAAAAACCCTTTTGTAGTCATGTGTAATGTATGTCCATATGCATGTCGTAAGTATGTAAGTCAAATAGCTTTTGGTTCATGTACCACCTCATGGCTGCTGACCTCTGGAGCTATGCCTCGCTCATTTTAGCACTGCAGCAAAGAAAGCTGCACCATTTATAGTGAAGTTGATTAAAAGCTAAGCTAAGCTCCCCAGCCCTGCTGATGGCTCCCTCTTGACCTGTGATGTGGAATTCATGGGTCAGGATTTGCTTTAGACTGAAAAAATCCTCCTGGTGAAGGGGTGCTTTTAAGTAAAACGTTTCCACTTCTTTAAAAGCCTCATCAGTCACTTGTACCAGATGCTGGGGGAAGGAGGGGCACAACCCAAAGCCATCATGCAATTTTTGGCTACGTCAGGAGTCAGGACCCTGTGAGCATCACTCTCTGGCAGCACGCACGACCCTTCTGCATGGAGGTGAAGAGGGGCCTCCCGGCAAGGCAGGGACACAGGCGATCAGCTTCAGGAGAAGCATAATTTTGGCCTTGGAGAGAATGCCTGTGGTCTTTTCAGCCTCAAATAAGCCCAATCTAAGCACTGCCCGTATGTCTTTCTCTGACTACAGAGAAAAAGGAGGCAGCCCTGGCCTCCTCCCGCTGCTTTCCTAGCTAAAGAAAACGCAGTTGGAGCACTACCAGGTCCATGCAGCATTAAAGATTCATCCTTTGGTGAGGAAGTTTAATACTCCGGTACCCTTTCCCTCTGTTTGGCTAACATTGAGACCTTTGTTGACCAAAATTTCCAGAAAAATAAGGAAAAGACTTAATGCTGTTATATACACTACTATGGCTGACTACAAGGAGAATGAAGATCTCTTGCTTTTTAACATCTCTGCTCAAAACAACTGAAGATGGAAATAGGACATAAGCCTGAAGGATTAACCAGCTTTGTATAGTTCAATAAAATACAAAGCAAATTATTTGCATTCATTTCTCAAACAGAAAAAAAAACCCCAAACTTCAAAATCAGAGTTAGTAGGCAAAGCTCTAGCTGAACCTATCAAATTTACCAGTCAGAGCAGATCTGAACTTGGACCATGATAGAGTGACTAAATCAGAGTTGGGGCAGAAAATACTATAAAATTTATACCATACCTTAACACATACAAGCCATCTGAAAATTAAAACGGAAAACACAGATGAGCACATAGCTCTAATCCATGGCATACTTTAACCATAACTCAGGATTTTTGTTGCAAAACAAAGCAAAAATGGAACAGGCATTGAGGAGTTAATGAAACAACCAGATTTACTCAGCCAAGAGTCATGGATTAATAACATATCTGGGATCCACCTCCTACTGATACTTGAGCAGTGCAGGTAAAGCTAGCAGAGACTCCAAGCAGATAAAAAAGGGCAAAAATTTTCGTTTTCCTTGATCACGTCAAAACATTAGCTAAAAATTTAAACTTGTGACCAAAAGAATGGAGGGAAACCACTAATCTACTTTTGACTATTGCTTAGTGCTACAGTAAAACCCAAGCAGCCAGTACACACCTACTTAAGAGGCTGCATTCACACATGACCAAGTCCTTCATCCCAAGTATCTCTACAGCAGAGGTCATGTGGATTCAGCTGACTTCTGCTGCTGTGACCTAAAATAAAACCCTGACAGACATGCCACTCTGAGATAAATAATACCTCCTGGAAGAGTGAAGACAGGAAGGCAAGGCTCCCGTTTTGGCTCTGAAGAACACCTCAGGGCATGTGGCATGGAAGAAGATATTCCCTACATCGGCAATAATGAAAAGCCCAGGACATTTTCTTCCTCATACCGTCACACCTGGGGAAATCCCCTCTCTTTCTGCAACAGGCCTGCAAGTGGTAATTTGTTCAAAAGCTGGGGTGATGCAAATACAGCATTCAGTCCAGCGCTCCAGTTGCAGATCCATGAGGCAAGGTCTTTGGAGAGGAAGCATTAAGGACTGGTTTCTGGATCAAATGAATAGCATTAGTGTTTATCTGCTGTTTTGTCACCAGGAGGAAGAGGAGCCCAATGGTGCTGGTCAGTTGAGAAGATAGCATCTGCACATCACTACCAAATATTGCAACTACTTACAGGTGGTTCAGAGGGGCAAAGCAAAGCTGGAAAACAAGGAAGGTAAATAGCCATAAGAACTCATACCTGTCTGATTGCTGCAGTAAACTGGAGAGAAAGAAATGTCATCAAGGGCAACATAACCTCCCTTGGCGCTATTGAAAGCAACTTCAAATATTACCTGGAAATGATAATTGTTTGTTATTCTTCTACCATATACACAACAGTAATTTTGGTACACATCTTCACATTACAGAATTCTGATCAGATGTCCCAGACAGACTCAAGGGCACCAGCACTGCAGGTGTTGGGACAAATTAAATTATATCACTTAATAGGGATACAGATCAGAGTCTGACCCTGGCACCAGATCTTCGCCCACTCAAGGTCAAGGAAAAATCAAGGGGAACATAGCTCTTCTGCTGTTTTAGGAAGCATCAGTTTTAAAGATGCAGTAAGGCTACTGTCATGATACCATAAAAAGCCAGTATTCAGGGTCATCAGACTGCATTGACTATAACTCCAAAGCTGCCTAGTTACTACTGTATCTAGAATCTATCTGGATCAAAAGCTAAAAACAGCTGTGTGGATTACTCTGCTGTTACAATATTAAGTTTTACTGTTTTCTCTAAACATCCTCAGACACTGAAACCCATGCCTTGGCATCAGCTGGCAGGGAAGATTTCCTTTAACAAATGTAATTAAGACGAGAACGAGAAAAGCTATTGCAGTGTTTTGTTTACCACAAAAATCAAACAATGTTTGTACTTAGCCATTCCCAAGGGACATTATTTCCTCAAGTAAGTGGAGGACAGTCCATAACTCTTGAGGAAGTGTCTTAAAATTTCTCTTAAGTATCAAAGCTCTGAGTTACAGGAAAACTTTGAGAAAAGGCCTGAATCACAAGGGAACCCCAGGGACAAAACAAGGATATAAGGACAAATGCTTCCAGACTGAGATCCTGTTCAGTGAAAGCAATGCTCCCTAGGGATGGGAGCCAAACTAGGAGAGCTGTGAAAGAATCCTGAGCTATCTCCTTTAGCTGGATGAAACAAAGAGGAAGACCCTCTTGAAGCAACTGAAGAAATTAAATGCAAGGTTTAATCTTATTTCTATAAAGTGATCTCTAAAATAATGACTGTGTTGGATTACATAAAAATTCCTGGAGCAGAATAAAGGCCCATCTAGCCCAATGTCTGGTTGCCAACAGAAAGGTCACCTGCAGAAAGAACTGAAGACAGTGACAAGTTTTCAGTTCTTCTTCCCTCACATTGCATTCCTGATGGATTCTTTCTTTCCCATTAATTTTGTCTAATCAGTTTTTGAACTGATTGGAATAATGGTATCCATAGTACACTGTGGAAATGTGTTCTACAGTTATGTGATGTAGGAAAAAATCCTCCCTTTGGTTTATTTTAAAACTGTTACCTGGTAATTAAGAATTTGGAACAGCAATGAAATTATGAGAAAAAGGGAACAGTTAATCTTTTCTTCGTTATTCATGATTTTTATGAACCTCTACCATATTCTACTTCAGTCATTTTTTTTACAGGCTGAAAACTGTTACTTCATTAACATAACTTCTCCACACTTTTGATTATCCCCATCTCCCTCTTGTACTTCTAGGATATTCTTTTTTAACTGAGAGGGTTGGAGTTGCATGCTCTGCTGAACACAGGGGTACCCTGTGCATTCATCCCATGCGTGCATGGTACGACACCTCTGTTTTGCTGTTTAATCCAGTATAGACAGTTTCCAACACTCCGGATGGTTTTATGAATGCCACTAAGAACTGAGAGGATATTTTCACAAAACTAACCACAGTAATGCCAAGCTCTAAGTGATAACTTTCATTTATAGCACTAGGATTGTTTTTCCCCTTGCATGTCGCTTTATATTCATTGAATAAGTAATTCACTTACCATTCAGTATTATGAGACCTTATCAGATCTAATCTCCTTTCCCATACCATTTGAAGTCTGACAATTCAAATGGATGACTTGGTCACTGACTTTACGGAGTATAAAAGGAATATGTAACATCTGATGAAAATTAGCTTTACCCCTAATCATTTCTGAAAATCTGCAGGCTTACAGTGAATTACAAAGAACTTACGTAGAGTTAAAGCAAGCAGAATGAAAGCCAATTTATTTGTAATCCTAGAATTAGAAGTATATATATAGGGAGAGAGTATATATATATAAAAAAATTACATAT